CCCTCGCGTTTTCATGCTGCATGCTGCCCGTGGGTGGCATTCGCGAGCCTGTCACCAGGGGCAGCTCCAATGCGCAAGGCTGGCTGGTGGACATACGAATGGACAGACCTACTTAATACAGCCGTCCCTCGCCCCAACATAACAAATCGTTGAACCTCCATTGTGTGTTGTCACTGTCCCGCTGCCTCGCGGCCAACCTCGTCAACGGTATTAGGGGGTGTGGGTGGTCGATACAGTTTTGATGTAGTTGGAGGTCGCACTGTCTTGGCGCGATGGGCGGTGGACACTTTTTCCAAGCAGGCATTACTTTTCAAAGCACATCTGCAGATGCTAATGACGTTGACGTGCACTGCTTTAAGTGCGAAATCACCAACGCAAATACAAGCGGGAGGGTGGAGGGAAGCTTTCGGAAGAGTGCAGAGATTGGGATGAAGAGCGTCGGACTGTGAACGTGGGCGTGTAAGTGGAGTGGACACGAGCGGACTGGGGAGCGGGGAGCATCTGGTAGGAGCGGGGGGGCTGCCAAGAATGGAGAAGAGGAAAAGGAGCGCGAATGGGTACACAGGAAGGGTTGAAGACGGACTGCGGATTCTCGAGGGGTGCGGGGGGACGCACAGAAGTGCAGAGGACGGGGGAGTGCGGGGGAGGAGGGCAGAACAAGCAGGAGTGCGGAGTAAAAGGGATGGGGGTGGGGCGTTCTGGAAGGCGGAGGAGTGCGCAAGAGAGAACGCGGGGGAGCGTGGAGGAGCGAGACGAAATCGGCGAAGAGGGGAGGATGTGGGGAGGATGTGGATCGGAATGCGGAGGAATAGCACGGGCGGGGGGGACGCTGCAACACAACCAAGTAGACCAAGCACGGTACGATCCGCGTGATAATTAAACCGCAGGGCGGGATCCCCCGCGTTTCGTCAGGATTGGCTCAGGCCGTATCAATCACATCGTCCCCTCGCACACTTTCGCCTCGCCCGCGCACGCGACACGCCCGAAATCGAAACCGCCTTCCTGGTTAGGACCAAGTTGTCATCAACCCCTGCCATCTAGTACATTGAAAACACAGGTGTGTGCAGCACACACAGAATTCAATGCATACACACGCGCATGCACGTGGTTCCTGGGTTCCTGGTCGATCTTCTTATCGAGCGGTCTCACCATCGGTCTCTTTCCCGACTTCTCGATCGATCTCACCATCGATCTCACAATCGATCCCACTATCAATCTCACAAGCGATCTCACTAGAGATCGCATGAGCGATCTCGCGATCGATCTCACTATCGATCTCATTGAATCGATGTCACTCTCGGTCTCACGATCCACCTTACAATCGCCCTCACTATCGATTCCATTATCGGCCTCATCCTGGATCTCACAATCGGTCTCAAGATCCGCAACATCAAATCTCAAAAAATCATCCGCTGATGGGGCCCTCTCAGGCGCGATACGGAATGTGCCCACCGGCCTGGATCGGCACGCACACCTCTTCCGTGCGAATCGATTGCTTCCCGCGTGCGCGCAGAGGCACCGTGGCAGCACGCGTGCTCTCGCCCCACGGCCTGCAAGGACGCGGAGAAGGCAAGGCCCCGTTCCGCGCCCTTGCCCCTGCGGCGGCCGTGGGGCGGGGCGCCCTCAGGGGCGCGAAGAAGGCGGGGCCCGTGCCAATCGACTGCCAATGAATTGCCTCCTGCGTGCACCGTGCTGCGCCACTCGCCATCGCTCGGACGCCCACTCCGTGTGCCTTTTTGTTTGGCTTCGTGCGTGGCATTTCTTCGCCAAAGGATCCAGGACATGCTCCTCGACGGTCCTCGCCGAAGGAAAAAGGCACACGTCCGAGCGATGCCGAGGCCACCGCGGCAGGCCCGCCGCCGTGCGCCCTCGGCCCACCGCGCGGGCGCCCCTCGGCGCGGCGGGCCGCCCCGGGCGGGGCGCCCCGCGGGGGCCCCCCCGGGCGGGAGGTGCGCGCGCGCGCCGTGCCCGCGGGCCCCGGGGAGCTGTCCCGGCGGGCCCGGGGTCTCTTGGCGGTGCGCACAAGGGGGAGGGAGGGAGGGGGGAGGGTTTCTTAGAGGGAGGCTGCTTCTTGGAAGGCGCCGGCCCTACATCTCAAGATTAAGGCCCGCGCCTTCTAAGAAGCAGGGGTGCTTCTAAGGAGCCCTCCCCTTTCCCCCCACCCCCCTCTGCGCGTGGCGGGGTCTGGTCGGGCCTCCCGTCCTGGGTATACCATTGAGGCGCGCATTGTCCCGAGTAGACCCCCGACGCGTTGCCGTCCCCCTACAAAAGGACTGTGGGCGAAAAACCAAAACAAATCCGCAACAAATACTCCAACGCTGCCCAAACATAGTCCCCAGATTATTTTGTTGACTATTTTTGAATATTCCCCCATGTAGAGGACAGGCCAGACTTAAGCCTGGGGACCAGGAATTCGCCAGGCCGAAAGCAGCGGGCGAGGCGCCCGCCCATCGCCCCGCCCGCGGCCGAAAGCATGAGTCAAGACTGGGAGTCTGGGGCCAACCGGAAGCTGACTCCGACAGCGCCCCCCCAACAGAAGGAGACGGGGACGCACAGCACTGTCGCGGCCCACCTCGTCTCTGCGGAACGATCCGCCAGAAGTCGCCAGGGCAGCCATGCCCGAAACCGGCCGAACACTGTGGGAAAACAGACGAGCGGCCAGTGAAAGCTGACGCGCTCAGAATACAGGTTCCGAGGTAGGAAGGCACCAACTATACACCAACACCGATCCTGGCCAGGATCACCCTGGGCCCAGGATCGGTGTATACGCACTCCTGCCTTGCGCAAGAAGGCATATACACCGATCCTGGGCCCAGGGTGATCCTGGGCCAAGATCGGTGTTGGTGTATAGTTGGTGCCCTCCGACGTGGCTCCCTCGGAATTCCACCAGCGGCGGGGCTCAGCACGTCGTCTCGCGTCCCAGGTGGTGGGCAGCAGCAGAAAGAGCACCACCATGAGGCGGCGGCGGCCCCGGCCGCGACGTCCCCCCCGCCCAAGACGCGGCCGCGCCCGACACGCGAGGCTCAGTGCTCAAGAGGCCTCAGGACACACACACACACACACACACATGCACGCACACAAACAGCAGCATTCCTCATCTTTTCCCACGTGTTCTGGATGTTCGTCTTCCCCCCCACCTGCCAATACTTTCCCATCTTTTCCTGTGAGTCGACGCTCACTTGTGTCTGTGTGTTTCTTCCCCTCTTGACTTACTGCGCCCCCTTGTGCAGGCTGCGCTCCCGCGGCCGATCCCCGCGCAGCTTCCATGTGCACGCCCGCCCTCGGCCATATCTCATCGAGCGCCAACGGCTCCCGTGAGCTCCTCACGCCCTCGATGTACAGTCAAAACGTATATGAAGGACGGGTGATAAGGACGCAAGACCCTTGGAGGCCGAAGTTGGGATTTTAGGGCGGCGGGCGACCAGTGATAATGGCAAGGACGAGCCTCAGAGGCAAGGACACAAGGGTACCCTAGATGAAGGCGCGCGTCCTTACTAGGCGCGTTGACTGTATTCCCTCTCGGCTACCTGGTGCCGGTGCGCGCGCAGGGCTCGAAGAGACCACGTCTGATGTTCTTCCGGAGCGCTCTGAGAAGCTCTGGCTCCGATGTGTCACCGGCCTGTGCTTGACTGAGGGTGGTGCTGCCCCACCAGTGGCAAGTCGTAGAGGAGGAGAGGAGCAGGAAGGCTGTCCAACTCGCCATCGACCTCCCTCTCACCTCCCTTCTGCGCTCGACCCCCTTGTCTGCTCCCCTGTCTTCCCTCCTCCCATCTCCCCTTCTCCCTCCTCATCCCTCCTTCTCATCCTGCTCATACATATCATCCCTCTTCCTCGAAACCTTCAGGAAGTCCCAGGAGGCCCCCAGGGCCCGATGAGGGCAACCACGTCCAAAAGCATCGATCCTCGATTTCACATCCCCGACCATCGCTCCTCGATCCTTCTCTTCTCACCTTCCCTGCCTTTTTCATTGGAAAACAGAACGGCATGACGGTATACCCATACCTCTACTCCCAGCACCTCTCCCGGAGTGCGTCCTGACCAGGATCTCGGGGCGAGTCCAGCCGTGGCGACGAGGGCATCCCAGGAGGCCCAACAAGGCAAAAACAAATCAAAGGTAGAAGAATCGGTACCACGTACCTCCTGCGAGTTCCCACTTCTGGGGAAATCAAGAGGTGCCGATAACCCTTGCCCCCAGACCTCTCCCGGGGTACGTTCTGACCAGGATTTCGAAGCGAATCCATTGGTGGCGACGAGGGCCTCCCAGGAGTTCCCAAAAAGGGAAAACGAGCGAGGGGGCAGCGCTATGCGTACATTTCCTTCTCTGAACTTCCTCCTCGGTCCAGTAGGCGGGAAGACCCAGGGAGACAGTGGTCTTGAGCCTCAGCCGCTCCCCCCCCTCCGCCTCCGGATTGTTCTCCAGCACTTTCGGCAAGCCGTCCACCTTGATGGCGAAATCCGTCGCCGTGACGTTGGCGTCGTCCTCCACTTCTTCCGAGAAGAGCCCCTCACTGCCCACCTTTCCGATCCACTGCCCCCGCCGCTGCTGGCACATGGCCACAAGGGTGTGCCCTCCTCAGCCCCCTTACTTCCTCCCGGGTGGTGGAGCACCAGAACCACCTCCGCCACCGCCAGGGAGAGGGCTGTCCAAATTCCCTCACCAGCTTGGGCGGAAGGGCGCGCACAAGGCTCAGCAGCGCCACAGGAGGAGAGGAGGAGGAGGAGGAGGAGGAGGAGACACAAGCCCACTGAACTGTGCAGCAAGCAGAAATGAACTATAGGGAGCCGCGAGCCGCTGTAAGGCTCCCCCGTTCGCGGATGCCGCCCTGCCTTGAGGTTATTCAAGGGAGTCGTTCTCGCGCGACTGGTTTCCCAGGTGACTGGACCATTACATCTTTCTGTCAACACTGGGGACTGTCGGGTGGCGGCCGAGCCGCTACAGTCGAGACAATAAATTAAGGGGCCCGCCGAGATCAGATGGTGGCCACGGACGAGCTCAAACGGAGGGTCCACTGGAACCTGGGGGCACACGGGGCTAGGCATACTAGACACAATATCACTACCACACTGGGCAAGCTCAGAACCAGGCAGACTTGACACAGTACCGCTAGCCCGAGGAGGGCTACCTTCGGGCCCTGAGACACGGTCGGCGACACGGAGAGCAATGACAATTGCCTCCGAGGGCGAGGAAGGAACGAGGGCGCCGACCGAGGAGGAGCAATGGAGCCTCTGCCTAGCGCGGCCAATGAGCCGCTGCAGCGCAGTCGGAGCACACGAGGTACGCTCCAGCCTCGCCAAGGCGGCCTCAAAGGAGGCCATGGCCGTGCACGTGTAAACCCAGCCAGCTCCATCGCGAACGACTTCGTGTCGGCTCTCGGACAGCTGCGCATGGTCACCAGCAGCAGGCGCACGTCGCAGCACAGGGTCAAGTTCTTATTCGTCAGAGAGCGATCCCACAGCAGCCACCAGTCAGGCTAATAGCTTGGCTTCCGACTCTGCACTGCCCATCTTCACCTTGAGCACGTCGACCAGCGCGCGGCAGTCAGATCGTGCTGCATGGCGCCGACCTGGGCGAAGAACTCCGCCCGCACAAGCTGCTACAGAGATCGCAGGGAGGGGGGCGAGGAGGAGGAGGAGGAGAAGGAGGAGGAGGAGGACGGGGAGGAGGAGGAGGAGGAGGAGGAGGAGGAGGAGGAGGAGGAGAAGGAAAAGGAGGAGGAGGAGGAGGAGGAGGAGGAGGAGGAGAAGAAGGAGCCGCCCCCCCCCCCCCCCCCACACGAGATGGCGCACGCAAGGCTGACCAGCCCCCCCCCCCTCCTGCCCACCTCCCTGGCCCTTCTGTAGGCCCCGGGAAAGCCGCCAGAGACCCACCCCGCCAAGAAGAAGCGCGCACAAGAGCGGAGGGACGCGAGGGGGTGAGGCCTGGGAAGGCGTGGGCAGGGTCTCTTGTTACGTTTTTTCTTATTCGGCGTTTCGGTATTGTCGGGGATGGACAGGACCCCCTCTGGCAAAACTAGGTTTAGTGAAAACGACCTCGGGCCCAAACCTGGCGGGCGCAAACCTGGAAGATGACGGCCGCGGCGCCCTCTCGAGAACGGAAAACGGACAATTCACTAATCGACGTGCCAGGGTGGGGGCTTTGTCCACCCCCGATATTGGGCGGAAGGAGGGGGGTCTGACTCCGGACCTCTACTTAGCGCGACGGTTTGCAACAGTGCGTCCGTCCTATGGGGGAGACTCCGCCTGCTCGAAAAAGGCGCCCAAAGCAGCCAAGATCTAACTACTCCATGGGCGGGGGAGGGGTGAAGTGCGAAGGCCCGCGCCGATCGGCAAAACAATGAATACGAAAACGATCACTGGTCCGTCTGGAGGACGCCTCTTCATCGTGAAGGCTCTTGCGATGAAGATAAGCGTTCGGGGGGGGACCAGCTCAAGGTGATACACATTGGCCTGGAATCGGCGATACCTCGCCGACAGATCGGCGATGGGAACCCAGCAGCGCATCTGCACGTTCTTGGGCGGGGTGGGCTGTCGGGCATGCATCGGCGAGGAATGGGCGATCGGGGATCGCTGCTCCCGACCCTGAGCCTATCCCCCCCCCATATCGTTGCCCCCGAGGCCGGTCAGTCATCAGGAAGCATACAGCAGGGGCCCGATCACAAGAAACCTTCCACCAGAGACCCAACCCTGAGACCACAGGACGTCCACTGACTTGGGGCGTTGGCACGTCGGGCCTTCCATTGCAAGACCATCGAAAACCGAGAAACCCAGGGCACTCTGGAGGCAAGCAGGGTGCTCCTTGGCATGGGTCTCCATCATATCCGCACCCTCGCAGCACCAACTCCTCGGCCGCAGCACCGTGAAGACGAGGGAGACCTCCTGTGCGGATGACCCGCGCGGAGAACGCCCCCACGGAGTCGCGCGCCCGTGGGATCTCGCCTCCGTGCCCAGACCGCGAGGGCATGGCTACTATGGATCTGGGCACCGCTCGTGGCCAGCTTCCGACCTCGACAGGTCCCCCCCCCTCATTTGGACAGCTCGAGGTGTGGAGGCGGCGGGGGGGCATGAACCGGATGAGCCCCGAGAACGTCGGCCAGGGAGGGGAGCCGAGAGGCAGAGCCGCTCTGAATCGGTCCCCAGACCTATCTGGTGCAGTTCTCTCCCTCTTCCCCCCCCCCCTCCCCCTCCCCTGGATCCAGTCTTGAGGGCCCCAAGGCCCGAAGACGGCCCCGAGAGGCCGACTACAAGGGCAGAGCATCTCGTCGAAGCCAGCACCTCGAGCGTCGCCCCCCCCCCTTCCTGTTGGCGGGGCGGCCTCAGACCTGCAGCCGGCCCCAGTCGCTCGTGGCCAGGCTCCGACTTCGACCCGTCCCTCCCCCCCCCTCGTGGAGTGCGGGGGCTGATGACGGGCACGGACCAGAAGGGGGGGGGAATGCTGCATGCAAATTCAGGCCAGTTGGATCCTGCAAGATCCTGCAGGGGCCTGCGCGCTGGCCCAGGACAGTGCAGCTCTGGCCACTGCAGGATCCTGCAAGGCCCAGCGCTCTGGCTGCCCCTTTTTGCATGGACCCCTGCATCAAGGCTCCCGAACGTCCACGCCAGAGGCCCCGCCGGTCCACCTCGCCCTCCCGACGGCAAACGCCTGCCGCAAGGCGATCTCGCCCTCCCACCAATCGACCTCGCCCTCCTCGACCTCGCCCTCCTCGACCTCGCTCTCCTCGACCTCGCCTTCCTCGACCTCTCCCTCCTTGACGTCGCACTCCTCGCCCTCCCACGAATCGACCTCGCCCTCCTCGACCCTCGCCCTCCTCGGCTCTCCTCGCCCTCCCCTCCCCTCGGCATGGCGCCCGACTGGCTGGCGGCGGGCTATCGCCGCCACCTCCTCCTCCTGGCAACCCTCCCCCCCGCGCGGCCCGCCATCGGCCCGCGAAGGGGCCTGCGGCCACCCCAACCCGCGGCGGCGCTCCACTCCTCCTCCTCCTCCTCCTCCTCCTCCTCCTCCTCCTCCTCCTCTTCTCCTCCTCCTCCTCTACTCCTCCTCCTCCTTCTTCTCCTCCTCCTCCTCCTCACCTCCCCCTCCTTCTCCTCTCCTACTCCTCCTCCTCCCCCCTCCTCCTCCTCCTCCTCCTCCGCCTCCTCCTCCTCCCCTCCTCCTCCTCCTCCTCCTCGCTCCTCCTCCTCTCTCCTCCCTCCTCCTCCTCCTCCTCCTCCTCCTCATCCTCATCCTCCTCCTCCTCCTCCTATTCCTCCTCCTCCGCGGCGGCGCTCCACTTCTTCTACCACGGTCTCGTGCCTCCGCTTCCTGAAGATGAAGATGCTCAAGGAGAACACGACCTGCCCCCCGCGGGCCCCTCGGACCCGCGCATCGCCTTCTCTCGTTCACAGCCGGCGCCTTCGCCTGGCGTATGAAAGCCGGGACCCTCAGAGATCGATGCGGCTGGGAGGATGTCGAAAGATGGGGTGCGGGGCTCCAGCCGTGAATGTTCGCTCGGCGGCGAGCGAAGGGGAGAAGTGAGAAGGAGAAGTCCTTCTCAGAAGGGGGCGGGGCTTCTCAGAAGGCGGCCCTGTGAGTGGTTAACTATCCTGTGTGTGTTCGGTGAAGGCTTCGAAAACTTCTGAGAAGGCAGGAAGACTTCCGAGCCTGCTGAGACGGCCGCCCCTTCTCACTTACCTCCTCGCTCGCTGTCGAATCTAGTTTCTGGGTCAGAACTCTGGTCTCCGCCGGGCGTTCAGGAGGATCCGGCCACCCCCGGCACCCCCGCGGCGAGGCGCAGCTGCCGGCAAGCACCCCGAGGCTGGAAAACACCGCCGAGGACCGAGAAGGGCGTGGGAACACCTCAAACCTGGAACCCGAAACTTCCTCTAATCAGAGGCCTCCTGGATGGGGTCCGAGTGGATGGGGTCGAAGGATCGCGCCGCATCGCCCTTGCATCGCCGATGCATCGGCGATGCATCGGCGACGTCGGCGATGCATCGGCGGCGTCGTCGTGGGGAAAATTGGGCTCCGCATCGAGCCGCATCGCCGATGCGTCGGCAATGCGGCGCGATCTTCCGACCTCATCTGCTCCGACCCCATCTATTGGGAGTCCCGAACCGGTGGGGTGACAGACCGTGCGGTGACCTCGAAATCCCCCAAGACCTCACCGCACTGTCCGCCACCGCACTGTCCTGGGACCTCGCAGGCCCCTGTCGCCCGAGACGTCCTCGGAGAACGACACGAGTCCCAAAACCGTGCGGTGACCCCGAATCCCCACCGACTCACCGCATGGTGTGGTCACCACCTCGTTTCGGGGCCCCCGAATCTAGGAGGCCTAGATCCCTCCCCCCCAAGTCGGCTACACGTAAGAGTGACCCTGGGTAAGAGTGACCTCTGGTGCGCGGCTTTGGGGGGGCCGCGGGGAGGCCAACTCCAGGCTCGCTGGCCGCTGCTGCCGCTGCGCGTTCGGCCATCTGGCAGAGCCCGTCTGTGCCCGCACCACAGGTCACTCCGGCGAGAGGTCGCTCTCGCGTCTGGTCTTACGTCGGGCCTGTCCCCCCACAGGGGGATTTTCGACGAAAAATATGGGAAAAACAAAACCATAAAAAGGTCAAACAATGATGATGATAATAATGATAATAATAATATTATTAATAATCCTAATAATAATGATAATAATAATAAGAGAAGTCACTCTCTTACGCCTTAGTCGACCGAGGCTCGCCGCCGATCCGCGAGGCTGCACCGTGCTCGCAGCACGTCGGCCCTCGTGGGCCGGCCGAGGCCCACGAGGCGCGCGCCCCCGCGCTCGAGGGTGGGCCGCGCGGGGCTCTCGCGGCCGCCGCGAGAGGGCCCCCCCCGCGCGGCACGCCGAGGCCCCCCCGGGGGACCACCACGCCGCTGCCGCATCCGGCTGCCTCTCCCTCCCTCTCTCTCGTTCGCCCTCCCTCCTTCTCGCTCCTTCCCCCCCTTCTCGCTCCCTCTTTCCCGTCCTCTCTCTGTCTCTCTCTCTCTCTTTCCCTCTCTATCCGTGTGTGTGTCTCTCTCTCTCTCTCTCTTCTTCTTCTTTCCCCTGCTCTGCGGCTCTCTCTCTCTCTCTCTCGTTGTCTTTCTCTCTCCTTCTCTCTCTCTCTCTCTCCACTTCTCCTCTCTCTCTGTCCCCATCTCATCCCTCTCCCTCTTAATGTTCTCTCGCTCTCTCTCTCTCACACTCTCTCTCTCTCTCTCTATTCCCCCTTCTCTCCTGCTCTCTCACTCTCTCTCTCTCTCTCCTTCTCCTTCTCCTTCTCTCTCTCTCTCTCTCTCTCTCCATCGCTCTCTCCTGCCCCTCGATGCCTCCCCGCTCCCTCGAGGAAGACGGCGGGCAACCGCCGCACCAGCACCGCCAAGGCCTCCCCGGGCCCATCCCGCCCCAGCCGTCCCGCCGGGGCCGCGACCCCAGGACGGCCCACATCGGGGATGGACAGACCTCCCTTTAGAAAACGTGGTTTAGTGAAAACGGCCTGAGGCCCAAACCTGGCGGGCGCAAGCCTGGAAGATAACGGCCGCGGCGCCCTCTCGAGAACCGAATACGGACAATTCACTAATCGACGTGTCACTTTTGGGGGTTCTGTCCACCCCCGACCACATAGGGGGCCTGAGGAGGCCGCCCCCGTGCTACCCCCGACGCCCGGGATAACCAGGGCAAGGAACGAGGCAAACATCCTGGCACGACGAAGGGGCGACGACCAACGAGCAAGCCGACGAAGAAGACAAGGATAAACGAGCCAACGGACAAGGCAACGAACGAGCCGATGCGCGACGATCAAACAGGGAAGGGTCTTGCGCGAGATGGCGCAGCGACCTCACGCGGCGGCGTACGCGGGCCGCTGGCGCGGCACGCCACGCTGGAAGCGAGGGCGCTCACGCGCGACCTGACGCGGCCAGCTCACGCGCCAGTGTCTGCGCAGACGAACCCCCGTTTTTTTTGCGTGGCTCCTTTGCGTTGCTCACTGCGTTTTTTTTTTGCGTCGCTCCAATGCGTCGCAGGAGGCTGAACTCCCTCCAGTCGACCCGTATCATAAGGCTGCGCGATAAGGACGCAAGGGCCTTGGAAGCCCGTTTCAAAGCTTCTCGTGCGGGGCGCGGCCGACGAAAAACGCCAAGGATGGACCGAGGAGGCGAGGATGCAAGGGTACCCTTTGGAAGGTTGCCCAACCTTCCTATGTGGGTTGATTGTGTCACGAACTCGCAGAAGTGGTGGACGTCCCAACACCCGATGGCCCTCACCCGACTGCCCAGGGAGCGCGTCACGCCGCTGCCTTGGGATTTTTTCCGCTGTCCTCTGGCTGCTCTTCCCTCGCCCCGCTGCCAGCTCCTCAAGGGGGATTCAGATGACCCTGGGGGATATAATTACACCCGAGGGAACAAATCAATGGATGGTTTTCGCTGAAGAGATCGACCGGGAACCCGGGAGCCCGGGAACCCAGAGCCCACCGACATCGGCCGGGAACCAATAACCGGGAACCAGGGAACCCAGAACCGGGAACCCGGGAACCCAGCCTGCTATTAAAATCGGCGGGAAACTTTCGCCAAATCATTCAACTTCTGCTCGGACCCCTTCAGTGCAAACACTCATTGGAGAAAAAAGATCCCGTTTCCGACTCCTCTCTCGGATTCACCCCCCTGGGTGGTGGTGCAGATGAGGGCGAAGATGAGGAGGAGTGGGACACGAGGAGGATAAAGGACGAGGATTGAGTGGTGACAATTGGATATGGAGATTGGGATGCAATGAGGTTATGGAGAATAAAGATGAAGCGCCTGGGTGTGTACGTGTGTACTGCTGAGCGGTGGGTCTACAGGGCACAGAGACCCCACTTAAGATGTGAGAAAAGCGGCGCGACGTACTTCGTTGAAGGTCCCTATGGGGCCCAAGATTCCCCTACCACATAATCAATGCGTTTGCACCTTAACGAAAACGTCAAATACAAATATCATCCTTCTGGCGAGGTGGGAGGCTCGTCGATCAACTTGTAGTGTGCAGGGTGCGTGCACCCCTATGCAAGACGACAACCATGTCCCTATCAAGTCCGTCGAGAACTACTTGAAGACAGCGATGAAGACAAACGCTGCTTGGAAAAGGAGAGAAGGACTGGGTAATGTGTCCAGTCACCTGCTGCGAACAAACAAGGCCACATCACTAGCAATGCCACAAGAAACTGCTGAAACCTGCTGGAATAAACCGCGAAAGCTGTATGTTTGATTTAGGTGTCTACTAAATGCTGGTTCCACTTTACTTTGAACAACTTGTCAAACACCGTGACTCCGATGTATCCCGAATGTGCTCGTGGGAGATGTCGCGCGTGCGATTGCAGCTGGGAACAAGCTCCGACGTCAACGTTGGGAGGATGTCTCAAGCCAAATTCTCAACTTGGAAGAGGAACGAGAAGGGTGGGAAGGGTGGGTTGCGTAAGTGTGAGAGGGGAATATATGGCGCGAGCGCACCTGCGTTGCCTCCCTGCAATGACGAATATGAGTTCTGCTCTCCTCTTGCGTGTTTGCCCATCCGATCTTCTCGCTGTCGTTTCTCTGTCGCGGTCGTGCCTTTCCTTCGCTTCTGGTGCAGCGCCCTGCCTGGCGCCTGAGCGTCTCGCGCACCCTGGCGCCCGCGGACTTTAAAAGCTGTCCCGTCCGACCGTTCTCGGTCCTGACAAAACGAGAATCCCGCTGCAGCGCGGGCCTCGACTGAAGATCGGGGCGTTGCCCCCGTCGTTCAGAATGGCGCTCTCGCCCCGGCGCGGGCCACTCTTCGGGATCCGAGTCCTTCCTCATCGCTGTCGCCCCCCTATGTTTCCCCCCCTACGCCTTCTTCCCCTGGTCCTCCTGCTCCTGCCGCTCCTTCCATTAGTCATTTCCTGCGGCTGTTCGTCCTCGTCTTTCTTCCTGCTCATCTTCCTGCTCATCCGCCACCTCCTGCTATGTACGCAGATGCCCTTTTCCGATTGCGCGTGACGCGATGGAGACTTTTTGGGAATTCAAGCTCCGCTATGACACGCTTGCTTAGATGAAGAAAACTCAGCGCGATGGAAAGGAACCTGTGGAGGGAAAGCATTTCAGATATGGCGCGAGCGCACCTCACTTGCCTCTCTCCTCTCTCAACCCTGTTCCTAATCCTCCTCAACTTCCTCCGCGCGAGAAGGAGGGAGAAAGACGGACGAGGAGGAGAGGGAGGGGAAACAGGAGGAAGACAAGGCAGAGAAGGACGACGACGACAGCGACCACCGACGACGATCACGGCAACGCCGACCACCTGGACATGTACCGAAGCCCTTCTGGCCGGGGGAATCCTCACCGTGGCGGCAAGGGCGCCCCAGGAGGCCCAGAGCGCTCGACATTCGAGCCCTTGATCCTCCAGCGACCCTCGAGCGACCCTCGGACTACGGCGAAAAAAGACTGCCCCCAGAGCGAGCCACTGCGAGGCAGTCGTTCAGGGCGTACCAGAGCGTCGCGTCCCTCAGCTTCATATCACTGCGCGCCGAGAGAGAGAGAGAGAGAGAGAGCGAGAATGTGTGTGTGAGTATACGTGTGTGTGTATGTGTGTGTTCGTGTGTGTGGGTGTTTGTTTGTGTATGTGTTTGTGTGGTGTGTGTGGTGAGTTAGTGAGTGAGTGTGGTGTGTGTGTGTGCGTGTGTGTGTGTGTGTGTGTGAGTGTGTGTGGTGTGTGTGCGTGTGCGTGTGTGTGTGTGTGTGGTGTGTGTGTGTGTGGGTGTGGGTGTGGGTGTGGGTGGGTGGGTGGGTGTGTGGGGGAGGTGGGGGGGCGCGGGGGGCGGAAAGTCCTGCTGCGATCACTGCGCCTCCTCCTCCCCCCCAGTTCTTCCTGCTCGTCCTCTGGTGTCCTTGTCCTCCCTCTCATCCCTTTTGACGTTGATCATAATTCAAGCACGGAGCTTGCAGCGTCCGTACCCCCCCCACCCTCGCCTCCTCCTCCTCCTCCTCCTCCTCCTCCTCCTCCTCCTCCGTCTCCCCTCCCCTCACCACTTCGTCTCTCCTGATCCCCAACCCCCCCGCGCCGCGTCGCCGCCGTTTTGCGTCGCGCTCGAACGACCTCAGGCCCACGCGGTGCTCGCAGACTCGAGGTCGGACCGTCAGCGCAACGTCAAGCTGCAAGAGCAGGAAAGCCCCGACTGAATCTCTCCGACTCTTCTTTTTAGGGAAACGAACTCTATACACCGACGCTTTTCCCGACCCTGCGCTGAAATTCACAGAATCGCGGATTCTGGTGTATACGGGATCCTGGTGTATACATCTGGGAAACAAGGGACAATTATATACCACACCACCCCGACGTCTCCCCTGACCCTTACAAAGTCGCGGGGTTGAAAAATGATACCGGAGAAAAACCCCAATCAGATTTTTTTAATCTTGCAATTGCTCCCTTTGTAATCGGCCGGAGCGGCAGGCACCGATGGGCTATAGGGCTATCGGGCTATAGGGCTATCGGGCTATAGGGCTCTCGAGCTATAGGGCTATCGGGCGGGCTATAGGGCTATAGGGCTATAGGGCTATAGGGCTATCCGGCTATAGGGCTAAAGGGCAATCGGGCTATAGGGCTATCGGGCTATAGGGCTATAGGGCCGTGACGTATAGAGCCATAGGACTATAGGGCTATGGGGCTATGGGCTATAGGGCTATGGGCCATAGGGCTATGGGGCTACGGGCTATAGGGCCATAGAGCTATATGGGCTATGGGGCTATAGGGCTATAGGGATATAAGGCTATTAGGGCTATAGAGCTATAGGGCTATAGGGCTACAGGGCTATAGGGCTATACGGCTATAGGGCTATAGGGCTACAGGGCTATAGGGCTACTGGGCTATTGGGCTATTGGGCACCCCCGGGCACCCGGGCACCCAGGCACCTGGGCCCGGCCACCGAAATCGGCCACGCACCTCACTGGCCACCCGGGCACCCGGGCACCGCCGGGCACCCGGGCACCCGGGCACCCGGGCCCGGCCACCGAAATCGGCCGCACCTCTCACCTCATCCTTTAATCCGCTAGGACCCCTACAGAGGCAAGCTCTGATTGGGGAACAACCCGCAACTGGTCATGTATATGTTCCAGTTTGCGACTTTTGTCCGTGGCAGCGATGACCCCAAGAACAGCCGAAGCCATCCCCATGAGAGAAGAGAGGAGGGTCGGCAGGACATCCTGCCGCAGGACCGCCATCGCTTTTCCCTCCCGAGCGAAGCGACGAGAACCCTGGCGCGGAAGAGTCGGGGGCGGCCGAGAGGGGGGCGTCCAAAGGGGGGGGGGTGCAAATCACGGCCAGGGGCATGTGCGCGGCCAGGGGGGGGGGGGGCCAGGGACGTCATGAAAGAAGAAGCGGCGCCATGAAATCTGGGGAAATCTCATGGCCCACACCATGATATCCAGCCCCCCCGAGTCATCACCCCCCTCTTTGCCGCCTCCGAAAAAGAAGGGGAACGGAGGGACGAGCAGGAAGCAGACGTCGGAAGACGCAAGAAACGGTTGGCGCGGTACGGATTTAGGTGCGAGGTGCCGGGACCCGTCAACAGCGCACTCGCTCTAGATTTTCGTTCCAGTACAGCCCACCGAGCGCCGCGCGACATCGAACGCAACAGGCACCGGAGACGCAGGGGGTCACCCAGCGCGCCCGGCTTGGCTGCGACCTTAAGGACGCCAGGGAGCGAGCAATTCTCAGTCTGGCTCTCCCCCCGGCGGACTCTTCGCCCCGCCGGGGCGGGCAGCCCAGGGAGAGTGGACTCGTGTCCCCGCCGCCGTGTCCCAGGACGCGCATGGTCGCCCAAGGTCTGGGCGTCGCAGGGCGGCATCGCGTGACGGCATGATTTCCAGCGCCCCTCCACTTTCGGGAATCTGCTGAGCCGGGTCCATACAGACCCCAGTCAGTCAGGCCTTGCAGCATCCTGCAAGATCCTGCAGGATCCTGCGGGACCCTGCAGCCCAGCCACGGGTCAATGCGGCCCGGGCCCTGCCGCATCGTGCAGGAGCCGGCGCTCTGACTGACCTCCGTTTGCATTGACCCTCGTCTATTTCTGGAGGTCTGAAAGGGGTGTGGCATGAAGGGGTGTGGTGCCAGTCGTGGAAATGGCGAGGTACACCACACCCCTTTCCGAGGGGAACAGAAAGTGACATAAACATAAAAGCTTGGAGGTCCGCGCGGATTCCTCGAATCAGCGCTGGACCCCCCTCCCTGGCGCGCTCCGCGCGCCAGGGGCGGCGCCAGAGGCGCCGCCAGGTGGGTCCCGCGCGGATCCGAGAAATCGGCGCGGACCTCAGAGTTTTTATGTGTATGTAATTCTTCGCTCCCCTACTTACACCACACCCCTTTCCTCCCCAGACTGTTGCGCTCCGATTTGGACGCTCGAAATGGGTACGAAAAAAATGGGTACGATGCTCAACAACGAACGTTGTCTCAAACCAGCAGCGGCCGCTGCTGGGCAGGCGGCCTGATGTCTCAAGAGGACACTGGCCGCGGCGGCGCGGACAGCGAGCCCTGTTCAACATGAACAGGCACTGCTGTTGGGCATTGTACCCATCCTTTCCGTACCCGCTTCGTTCGTGCCGATCCGATGCTTCCAGAGGCTCCGTCTCCCGGCCCCGATGGGGCGTTGGCAGAACTAGGTTTAGTTGGACCTGGTTTAGTGATGTGAACTGGGCAACGCCCTCCCCGCCCGTTCCACCAACCGGAACTGCCGTCACCCGAAAGAGCACCAGCTACGGCAGACCTGATTTAGTGACTCGGGCCAATTTAGGGGATCTAGGGCCCTGCCTTGGGGAACGAACAATGGCGTAAACATCAAAACTCGGAGGTCCGCGCGGACTTCGCGGATCGGCGCTGGACCCCGCCCCTTGGCGCGCGGAGCGCGCCAGGGGCGGCGCCAGAGGCGCCGCCAGGGGGGTCCCGCGCGGATCCAAGAAATCGGCGCGGACCTCAGAGTTCTTATGTTCATGTCATTGTTTGTTCCGCTATAGCTGGGGTCCCCTTACCTGGGGTCCTGGCTTCGGGAGCGGCCAAGAGGGGGTGTCCAAGAGGGGGGGGGTGCAAATCATGACCGGCGGCATGTGCGCGGCCCAGTGGGGGGCCAGGGACGTCATGAAAGAAGAAGAGGCGCCATGAGATCTGGGGAAAGCTCATGGCCCCCGCCATGCTATCCACCCCTCCCTAGCCATCACCCCCCTCTCTGCCGCCCCCGACGGCTATGCCCGGCAGTGGCGCGCAGGCGAGTGGGTCAGCCTCTCGGTGCGCGCGGGGGCAGCCCAGCCCAGGCCAGCCCACGGGCTGCGGGGCGCGAGCCCTGCGGGGCCCTCTCTGTAGGGTGCGCAGGTGGGCCCGCGGCAAGGAGGGGCAGCCACACGGAGGGGGGGGGATAGGCTCAAGCCGGGCGTGTCCCCCTACAGGGGGATTCTCGACGAAAAATAAGAACTACCCCAAAAATGCCCCAACATGGCAACAAAAATGCTCCCAAAAAAGTCCTCCGCAATAAAACAAAAAAGAGGAATATTCCCCCTGTAGAGCGACAGGCCCAACTTAAGGATAGGCACACACGTCGTTCATTTCTGATCGTGCTCATTTCTAGTTCTGCTCGTTTTTGATTGTTCCTGGCCCCCCAGTGGCCAGGAAGAGGCCCAGGACAGAACAATTAGAGCTGAAATGATCTTGGCACCCCGAAAATCAAAGACCTTTCGAATAATCAGAAATGAACAATGTATAGGTTAGGAGGCAACTATACTGTGAGGTCTTCGTCGGATGGGTTGAGAGGGATTAAGCCCCATTGGGGGCTGCTACGCCGGATCAGGCCGCGGATGAGGCGGGATTCAGCCGGATAAAACGGGATGAAACCGGAACGAACGGGATTAAGCCGGATTAAGCTAGGTTTCGGACCAGAATTTTACCTCCCAGGAGTTAAATCCGAACATAGGGGGGATAGGCATAGGCGGTGGGGCACTTCGACCTCGAATGGGCGATACATCGCCGATAGATCGGCGATAGGCCCCCGAGAGTGAATCCGGACCTTCCTGTGCAGGCTGGGGCCATTGGGCCCTTATCGGCGATCAATGGGCGATTGGGGGTCGATGCATCCCCCCCTATGCCCATCCCCCCCTATTGTTTCCCCCGAAGCAAAAGTAAGGAGGCAACTACTGGGAGGCCTTCGTCGGAAGGACTAAGGAGAATCAAGCCCCATTAGGGGGCTGCAGCGCCCTATGAGGCCGCGGATTCAGCAGGGTGTAACGGCATGAGGCGGTATCAAGCCGGATCAAAGCGGATTGAACCAGATTTCGGATCACGGCAAAGTTAGAATTTGACCTCCTAGGACTTGCATCCGAACAAAGCCGCAAGGTCATGCCTATGCGTAATCGAGCGCAGGGTGACAAGCTGGCCTCCAGAGCATTGGGCGAGATCCCGGGATTGGCCAACGCAACGGGCAAAAACCTGAGGGACCCACGGGCACCGATGAGGATTGAGAGACCGCAACCAACATGTGGTC